ATTTATATATATAAACATATATAAATAAATCTACTTTTTTTTTACATTAGTAATTCCTTTTGTGCATAATTATATATTATTGTTAATAATAAATTAATTAAAGCAACAAAACAACCTGAAGAGCCGGTTCGGAGCCGAAACAGCCGGCTCTTTTTAGTGAGCCGAACCGAAAGCGCCGGTTCTCTAAAAAGAGACGGAAATCCCATCACTACTGGAGACGCTGTCGGGGCTGAAACAGCTCACAGATTCTGAGCTGCAGGTTTTTTTTACTCTCCAACCAAAATTCACTGAGCCAGCAGCAAAAGAAGATCCAAACTGCTGTTCCCGTTTGATAACATCCTCATTAATTCACTCTTACCTTTGCAAGATAAAATCACACTTCCAGCACAGCTCTCTCTCTCTCCCCCATTCATTTGCTTATTTCACACTATTGTGTACAAGCGCTGACAACAGCTGTGTCTTTTTGAAAAATGACAAGAAAGCCTTATTTCTGCTGTTTAATACTGAAGAAAGTTTTAAAATGATGCCACATTGCAAAATGCTTAGCAAGTTTTTAATAAAACCTCTGTAACATTCACTTCAGCAGCATCAGGTAATTTTATATGTTGAGTCATGTTTTTCTTCAGTTTTCAATCTACTGCAGAATGTTTTTAAGGTTCTGCTATAAAAATCCAGGCCAGGAAAATCTCCTTCATGTTTTTCTGTGTTTCATCCTCAGTTACTTTGACACAAAGGCATCTGCTGTGATGTTCACACCTCTGATGAAGCCTCACAAGTGTCAGCACTGTTAAACGATCAGAATTATATTATTTCTGACTGTCTGAGGCAAAATTTAATTGTATCAAATAGGGTATCGAAGCAAATCTGAACATTGTGAATTGGAATCAGATCGATTATTGAAACCAGTGACGTCTCATTCTCAAACATGTAGAGAATGAGAAGTGTTGTTTTTGTGGTTTATATTTAGCCCGAGTGAGCAGCTTAGGCCTGACAGAAGTGGATGCAGCTGTGGGCATTAAGAAAAGATGAAAAGGACGATTAATAACTTTTTTGTTGAGTTAAGGCCTGATCCATCTGAAATGTATAACCAGTGCTCTGACTCGCAGCCATCAACCTCTCAGGTTATGTCTAACACTGGTCCTGAGACGGCATCAGATAATGAGCCAGAGCCAGAGCCAGAGCCCACTGAATATATACATTATACATTTGGAAGAGAGTGGCTTGACCAGTTTCCCTGGCTAAGATACAATAAAGTTAACAACATGATGCACTGCCTGTACGGTTGTGAGTGTGGAAAGCCCATGGCCGACAATACTGCATTTGTGACCTGTGCTAATATGTTTCGAATTGAAACACTGAAAAAGCACCAGTGTATCCAGAAAACACATTATATGCTGTGATAAATGCAAGTGTCCCCTCTCCTCACTGTCCTTCAGCAAACAGGTCGTCAGAGATGATGATTCAGTTTAACATTGCCTACAATATTGCTAAAGAGTGCCAAAGTGCCAACGCACTTTAAGCACAAGCACTTTTTCAGTAACTTATTTTTCGTGTAGAACTTTGCTCTAAATAAAGAACTTTGTCTTGACGAGATTGTTAGTTAATCATTCATGAATCAATATTGTCTGTATGGACAGCAATTTAAAAAAGTGAATATTTAAAACAGTGGGGTTAAGCAATGCAGCTGAAAAAATTTTACTTTTGTGCTGATGAACCTAAGAAAAACAAGTTGGGCGCACCAGTGTAACTGTGGCAAAAAGTTAGTCTAGAGCCCTATGAAGGGAAGCCAAAACAGGAGAAATCTGCTCTCTCTTTCTAGTCCCTGTCAGGACTCTTGCTGCAGCATTTTGGATTAGCTGAAGGCTTTTCAGCGAGTTTTTTGGACATCCTGATAATAATGAATTACAGTAGTCCAGCCTGGAAGTAATAAATGCATGAACTAGTTTTTCAGCGTCACTCTGAGACAGGATATTTCTAATTTTAGAGATGTTGCGCAAATGGAAGAAAGCAGTCTTACATATTTGTTTAATATGTAAGGACATATCCTGGTCATCAAAAAAAAAAAAATAATCCAACCATGAACATCTTAATGAGCTGCTGTTGGGAGCTGCAGCCACCAGTGGGAGCTCTCATGTTTCAAGACATCTCAGAGAAAAACCTGATGGTGGCGCTACAGGAAACACCAGCCAGTCAAACAGAAGGGGTTTAATTGATATGTGATTCATCAAATAATCCAGCTGTGAATCAGCAGCTGTGTGTGAAGTTTGAGCATTTTATCAAACTCACTGTTCACTGAGAAGAAGAAGAAGAAGAAGAAGAAGAAGAAGAAGAAGAAGAAGAAGAAGAAGAAGAAGAAGAAGAAGCTCTTTGCTCTGATCAAAATGAGTTCAATCACTGCTGATGTAATACTAACGCTTCCTGCTTTCTTTTAAATACAAAGAAGACATATTTACATGTTGTTGCCTTGACAACGCTCCAGTGGACCACAGCTGGAAGTGTTGAGGACTGCAGTCTCATTACAGGTGAGACTGAAGCAGGTTTCTGGATCAGAGCTGATCACTGCACCAGGTCGATACATCTGACCTGAGGATTGAAGAAATTCAAACACTCACAGATCACTGACTCGTTCAACAACTGTGAGCACAAACATCACCGCAACATTCAAATAGTTACATTTTACAGAATCCCAAAGTTGAGTTTGGAGCTTTAGATTCACTTACCTGAGTGTCTGCATCCACTGAAGCTGAAGTAATAAACTGTATATGCAGTAACATTCACTGTATCAACTGTGGTTCCACCGACCTGAAGCTCAAACTCCTGGACAGAATCAAACACAATCAATGTTACGACCACAAAGCAGAGACAACGATGTTTGTGTTAGAAAGTATTTAATGTAGTATTTAAACATCAACAGACGTGTAAAGTTGTTTATAAACACTCAGAGACTCACCGTTGGATCAGAGATGTAATTATACGAGTACAGATATCGTTGTGTTCCAGAGATAAGATGAACCAAATACATCTGTAACGAGCAAACAGAAAAGTTTCAGACACTGTCAGGAAGTTTCCTCTAAAAGCTTTTACAAAAGTGTTTGATGTGATAAAACCTCAAATTTTATTTTTGGTTTACAGTGTTTATAAAATTAATTTGTGGTAAAACAGTGAAAAGTGACACTAGTCAGATTTAACTGTGTGATACAGAAAAACACTCACATTATTGAAATATATATAGAAGTAGCAATAATCATAATCATTATAATAATAATGATTTGAATATATCGCAAAGTAAAAACTCTCTGCGCCCCGTGAACGCTCCACAACACAGTCGCCTCCAGTTTCAGGACTGAAAAAGCCGTTGAAACAGGCGGTAACATTTCCAGATGTTATGTTCACCTGTGGAAAATCAGAGACACAACGAGTCAAACATCAACATCTTTTGTGCTTTGAGTCATTTACAGCTGAACTGTTGGTGTCAGAGCTGCTCAGGTTTCAGTCAGAGCTCTCGCTCTGCTTCAGGAAGCTGCATCAGGTTCACATACTCAGCATCACTGCAGAGGACATTAATGAGACTCTGAGCTTAAAGCCAGCTGCCCTCTGAGGGCCTGAACCCGTGAACAGAGAGTTGTGTGACCTTCATTAACTGCTGATGTTCACTCAGTCTGCAAACATGATCTCTGCCACAGGTGGAGAATAAACAGCCACAGTGATGGAAACACAAAGATCTGCTAAAACATCAGGCTTCATCCTACTCACATAGAGCTGCTCGTACTGCTGTCCATAATACGTGATGGGACATGAGCTGATGTTCACCACTGAAGACTCAGTGAATGTCTGCTGATAGAACCACTGAGCACCTGAAGACCCAGAGACACATGAGAGCTGTGAGCTACAGTCTGTTAGCTGGTCGGACAAACAGGAAAAGCTGCAGGCTGAAAAACTGACTTCATGAATGGATTAAACAGCGTTTATTCACCAATCAGTGTAAAGCTTTACTGTGACATCATCAGTTAGCTTTCTTGGAAACAAACATAACAGGAAACGACAGCTTGATAGACTTCTGGATACTGAAGGTAATAAAACTGCAAAGATGAGAAGTTCAATTGAAAAGGGCTTTTTGTTTTGCTTTATTGTTAAAGAATAATAATTTAAAAAAAGATAAAACTTTGCTGATGACGTCAGATTATTTGTACTTAAAGCTTTCTTCATCGTCACTCTCATGTTTTTGTACTCGAGTATTTTGAGGACACTTGCAAAATGGCTGCCAGGTGTGTGCGTTTACCTGTCTGTGCAATGAGAGCACACAGGCAGAGCAGAGGGCGGAGCATGATGGAGAGGGCCAATCAGCTGACAGATCCCTGAAACACAAACACATTTTGAGAAAACTGCATGAAATTCTAACATTTATAGTCAGTTTATTTAACTTTAAACTTTTCTGTAAAGTTTAACTTCACAAATATAAAGTTTGAAACCATCCAGAGAATAAAATGTGATCATGTGTTGTATTAAGTTCACTTCATATGTGTTGTATGGACTCATCAAACCAAACATTATTTATTTTATGACTCACAGAGTTCAGTGTTTGCCTCGACCATAAACATGAACATAAGCTGTGTTTCTGTGGAAAACCAACCTGTGCTGTTTGTGATTCTGCTGAAAACAAGAAGACAAAAATCAGTTATTGTAGTTTGAAGTGTTTAATGTGTCAAATTATACACAAACACAAACTCTGACACAGCAGTGATACAAAGACAAACTTATAGATGACATAAAACATTATCAGCTCTATATAACATCACACATCAACAAAATACAAAACACTTTATTCTGTAACAACACAAAAACCCTCTGAGTGTTTTTGTGTCCACTGAGCAGTGCTGTCAGTGTCATGTGACGCTGTGTTCGGACTCTTTGTCAGCTTTGACGTGTTCACAGGTTTCTGTCATCAGGACCTGAGCAGCAGCTTCCTTCAGATAAGGTTAAATAAAAGTGGGCGTGTCTTCAGCCCGAGGCGTTCGGGGCTCCAGAGTAAAAATAAATGTTTATTAAAGTAAAGATGTGTTCAGGCGTCACAGTTTATCTGGGCAGAAGTCACACTCACGTCTCTGACCAGACTACCCAATCATCACCAACCAATCACAGCACTGCATTCCTCCGACAGCACCTGTAAGCTGACAGTGTTGATTGGTCCAGGTCTGACAAACTGGTGTTTGCTAACCAGCTGAAGCTCATCAACGACGGACATGAGAAGCTTTATTAGAAAGAAAAGTGAGGGAGGGGCAGGAGGGCGAGTCACCAGCTTGTTGGAAATTCACCAAATTATTCCAACAATGCAAAGCTGGCTTTACTTTATGTGTCAGTCAAAGTTTATTTATACAGCACGTTTAAAACAACCTGTTGACCAAAGTGCTGTAGAAGTTGTACAAATATACACTGCATACAAACAGTCAGTAAATAAACAATAAATAATAAATCAGATAAAACAAGTAAATAAAAGTGTGAGTGCATAAAAAGCCAGGATATTGAGCTCAGCTCGAGCTGAAAGTAAGCGAGGTTCCTGACAGGAAACACTAACAGACCAACGGCACTGTCGTATCCATGCAACAGGTTGGGATGTTCAAATAAAATGTTTCTGTTTTACTTTAGTTCAGTTTGAGGAAGTTTGTCTCCAACAATGATAAATTAGACAAACATTCAAATCTATTCTCTGTGGAGCTTTGTGCTCCAAGCACATCAGGAAAGGATCTCCTGACGTCCAGTAAGAACAGGAGGAATGATGACCACCAGCCCCAAAACACTGAACTCAGCTTTTAACATCTGGATAAAACACTAAAAGTCGGCTTTCACACCTTCATCTGTCTGTGATGTGTTTGTTCTGTTAATACAGTCCTGATGTGTGTTACAAGAGGCAGAGCAAGAGTCCAGGTGTGCAGCTCGTCTTACCTGCAGCTCTGATGGAGGATGAGGAGGATGAAGGCTGCTGCTCAGGAGGCTCTCTGGTGATTCTGCAGGTGGTGTCTCTGTGAAGAAGACGCTGCTCTCTCCGTCCGTCTCTCTTTATGTGGATCCTGGAGAGCGGGGATGGAGGTGGAGTCCACGGTGGAGACACCTGATGGGAACCTCCCACTGATGGATGCTTATTCAGCCTCTTCTTACACAAACAGAACAACAGCAACAGGAAACACTCAAATAAGTTTGTCACTGCAGGATTAAAGACATTCAACAATAATGCTCTTCATGTCTTCTTAAAGCTCTTTGTCCTGCTAACAGCTGTGATACAACTGCATCTACATTTTGTGTCACACTCTTCATGACTGTGGTGTAATGTAAAAAGACATTTGGCCTCACCCAGTGATGCATTTAATGCAAAAACGTACCATTTTTTAAATTTTGTTCTGAAACTTTGACAGCGTTGATTTGTTTATTCATTTGTCTTCACAGGACCTGAGCAGCAGCATTCTTTAGTGCTGAAGAGGACGTCACATGATGCAGCGTTGGTTCCTGGAACTAGGTCTGCTACATGTGGTGCGTCAAGAACTTGTACAGCTCCTCTTTATGAGGCTGTGCTCTGATCTCACTCAGAAGTCACTGGTTATTCAGGTAAAAGTGTCCCAGCATTTAATGTTCAATATTAAACTCATAGCAGAAGTTAACATGTTTTACAGCCTGACATAAAAACAGTTTGAGCATCTCTCTGTGGTTTTCTCCTTCATAATAAGCATAATCCTCAGTTTGGATCACATCATGGTTTTATATCAAGGCGACTCCATAATGGTTCATGTGATGTTTCACTTTGTCACTTATTTTGTAGGGAAATATTTGGGGTTATTGCAAAAACAAAACACTGCACAAACATGGATCAATGCTCTGATCAAATGAATAGATTTTTTTATTTTGTGCAAGACTGATGAGATATGTGCAAATCATGGCTTTACAGACAGGCAGAGCAGAGGGCGGAGCATGTTGGAGAGGGTCAGTCAGCTGACATTTCAACACCTCTGATTGGACAAAAAACTGCGTGCTATGTGAAATTTGTACATTGTCAAACAAACAAAGAGAAAACAAATGTCTTCATGCTTCCTCATCCATCTGTGAAATTGGAGTCATCACACTGACATTTGACAGATTTGCTCTCTAAACAGCAACAAAACACAATTTCTTAAAAGTTCAACCTCACAAATGCAAAGTTTGAAGCCTTCACCATCCAGAGAATAAAACATGCTCATGTGTTGTAAACCTGTTTGTCATCAGTTCACTTCATTCATGGAGGCATAAATACCAAACATTATTTCCTTTTGACATTTAGTTCAGTGTTTGCCTCGAGCATAAACATGAGCTGTGTTTCTGTGGAAAACCAACCTGTGCTGTTTGTGATTCTGCTGAAAACAAGAACACAATGTGTCTAATTATACACAAACACAACCCTGTCACAGCAATGTTACAAAGAAACAGGGGTTGTTATTGATCATAAGTCAATGACCCTCTTAAGGCACAACCCCCACTGGCCTTTACATTCCTGGGACTCTCCACCATTTTGTTTTGGAACTGAAGAAGCTTCTTGGATGAGAAATGAAACGTCTTCAAGTAGCTTAAACAAGTCCAGTAACTTCTCTTTCCAAGCGCCTTAGACTACCATCAGTCGGATGGCTGAGATCCGTCAATACAAAATTAATACTTGCTTTTTAAATTTTAAGAGTTCAAATGAGTAATTGGTTAAATATAAACAACACTTTTATTGAGAGAAATGAGTTTGATACAACACAACTTTCAGCAGATTTACAGGATATCCTGCAGGCGTATAAATGTAACAGCAAAGTCTGTTTTTGGATCTTAGCGTTACTCTGGATCAGGTTCATCGCCCCATCACCCGACTTCTGGTACTGATACCACAACATCTAATATTAAAGTTCTTATAAATTATTTTAATATGATTGACAACAGACCTCCTCAAATTTTCACACAAAATATGTAAACATTTAACAGTTTCATGGAAGCACTGAGTTTCAACATGCACAACCAACCACTAAAGAGCCAGTACTGATGTACAGTATTAATATTGAAGAGCATTTTCTCCTCTGAGACGTTCACATTTAATCCCGGCACATTTCAAGAGAAAATAAACCCCTGTTTAGTCCTCAGTGGTTGTTTGTTTCTAACAATACTGGAATCCACCAAAGGCAAAGGCCCGACTCAAACAGCAGACACACCCATTCTCTAGGACTAATCTGTCCGAAGGCTTAATGACTAACATTTTCAATCACTGTCACTGTCATCCTCCTCTTCCTCCTGTTCCTCTTCCTCCTTCTTCTCAGTTTCTTCTACAAGTCCTGAGAAGAAGTCATTGTCACCATGGGCCTTCTTGGTGAGAGACTTCATCCGACCGTTTTTCTTCTTTCTCTTGCGGTACTCATCGACAGTCGTGTTGGGTAAACTGGAAATATCCCAGAACTTTATGAGCTGGTCTTGGGCGCAGCTGACCAGGAAACGTGAGTCCCAAGACTTAGCGAGCTCTTCAATGGGTTCACCAACATGCTGCCCGATGCAGCCGATGACTCGGTTGGGAAGAAGGTTGACGGCTCTGATGGTGGAGAGACAGAGTGTGTCAGTAAGTTATATTGACAATCTGATGTCTGTGGCCAATCCACAAACCTTTAATTTTTTATGATAACCTTGCTTACAGGAAAATTGCAAGAGCAAGAACAAAAAGACAGAAAAGCATCACCATTGGAGTTCCGCACCGGCGGCCCCTTCTAGTGTAGTCAGGGATGAGCTCTGGGTATGTGTATTTAGACAGAGATCCAAGTCGTCAGTGTTGGGTACGGACTTCTTAATATTTGTAGTTTGAAGATGGTGTCATGTGACAGTTTATAGATATTTTATAACAATCTGATAGATCTCGAATGCTCATTGTGAAAATTGTCGCCTCACCGCAGACGCTCACTCCTATTGATATAGTTGTGTATATGCAACACAGACTTCTCTCTCAAGATATCAAACATGCTAAATTTATCCCCTTTGTTATAAACATGCCACACAAAATGACTCAAATGAACTCTTCTTTAAAGAGTTTTCTTAAAATACTAACGTGAAAGATAACCTGATTGTCACAGTTTATTCACTGATAAAAATCAAACTGGCATGGGCTCCAATAGAGTTACCATGTACTGTAGCTATTTGACTATAGTACAGTCAAATAGCTGCACAGCACTTTGTTTGAAAGCGCTTTATAAATAAAGTTATTCCATCCATCCATCTGTCTTCATCCGCTTTATCCGGGGCCGGGTCGCGGGGGCAGCAGCCTAAGCAGAGAAGCCCAGACCTCCCTCTCCCCAGCCACCTCTTCCAGCCACCAAAGGCGTTCCCAGGCCAGCCGAGAGATATAATCTCTCCAGCGTGTCCTGGGTCTGCCCCGGGGCCTCCTCCCGGTGGGACATGCCCGGAACACCTCACCCAGGAGGCGCCCAGGGGGCATCCTTGTCAGATGCCCGAACCACCTCAGCTGGCTCCTTTCGATGTGGAGCAGCAGCGGCTCTACTCTGAGCCCCTCCCGGATGGCCGAACTTCTCACCCTATCTCTAAGGGAGAGGCCAGCCACCCTTCGGAGGAAGCTCATTTCTGCCGCTTGTATCCGCGATCTCGTTCTTTCGGTCACTACCCACAGCTCGTGGCCATAGGTGAGGGTAGGGACGTAGATCGACCGGTAAATTGAGAGCTTCGCTTTTACACTCAGCTCCCTCTTCACCACGACGGACCGGTGCAGCGTCCGCATTACTGCAGCCGCAGCCCCAATCCGTCTGTCGATCTCCGGCTCCCTTCTCCCATCACTCGCGAACAAGACCCCGAGATACTTGAACTCCTCCACTTGGGGCAGGAACTCATCCCTGACCCGGAGTGGGCACTCCACCCTTTTCCGGCTGAGAACCATGGCCTCAGATTTGGAGGTGCTGATCCTCATTCCCGCTGCTTCACACTCGGCTGCGAACCGTTCCAGTGCGAGCTGGAGGCCCTCACCCGATGAAGCCAACAGAACCACATCATCCGCAAAAATCAGAGATGAGATTCTGAGGCCACCAAAGCGAAAGCCCTCCGCCACTTGGCTGCGCCTAGAAATCCTGTCCATAAAAATTATGAACAGAACCGGAGACAAAGGGCAGCCCTGGCGGAGCCCATCACCCACTGGGAACGAGTCCAACTTATTGCCGGCAATGCGAACCAAGCTCTTGCAACTGGTTGGGCACTCTGCCCACCTTCGATATACTTTGGAAGGACATTTAAACTTTTTTAAAAATTAAGCCAAAGAGGTACGATGGTTACACAGACACT